GTACATCTTCACTAGATTTTTATTTAAACATGTTTTTAATATTTATTTTAACATATTTTCTTCAAAAAAATTCAAAAAACTTTAAAAATAACGTTTATGACAAATGTCACTTTTCATTGGTACATCTTCACTAAATTTATATTTACACACGTTATTAATACTTATTTTAACATATTTTCGTCAAAAAAATTCAAAAATAGCGATTATGACAATTGTCACTTTTCATTGGTACATCTTCACTAAATTTATATTTAAACACGTTATTAATACTTATTTTAACATATTTATCGTCAAAAAAATTCAAAAATTTTAAAAATAGCGATTATGACAATTGTCACTTTTCATTGGTACATCTTCACTAAATTTATATTTACACATGTTATTAATACTTATTTTAACATATTTATCGTCAAAAAAATTCAAAAAACTTTAAAAATAACGTTTATGACAATTGTCACTTTTCTATGGTACATCTTCACTAAATTTATATTTACACATGTTATTAATACTTATTTTAACATATTTTCGTCAAAAAAATTCAAAAAACTTTAAAAATAGCGATTATGACAATTGTCACTTTTCATATGGTACATCTTCACTAAATTTATATTTAGACATGTTATTAATACTTATTTTAACATATTTTCGTCAAAAAACTTTAAAAATAACGATTATGACAATTATCACTTTTCTATAGTACATCTTCACTAAATTTTTATTTAAACATGTTTTTAATATTTATTTTAACATATTTTCTTCAAAAAAATTCAAAAAACTTTAAAAATAACGTTTATGACAAATGTCACTTTTCATTGGTACATCTTCACTAAATTTATATTTACACATGTTCAGGCGCGTACGAAGTAATTTGGTCTGGGGGGGGGATAATAAATTTTTTTAAGAAATAATATTTTTAATTAAAAATACTAAGCATAAATTTATTAGGATTAATAACTTTTCTAATACACAATTTTAAACTAATGTGAATTAAAAAAATTATATATATAAACCGGCATTTAAATGTGAATCATAAAATATAAAGTGAATATAACCCACGATATGAATCACCTAAATGACCCAAAATTGAAATTTGAATTTTTTGAGCTTTTAAAATATATAAAGTATAAAAAATTTAAATGTTGTAAATATAAATTAATACACAAAAAGTTTCTTAGGAATAATTGTATTTTGTATGTTTTGAGCTAATTTTTCAATTATCAATCCTTGCTTGGCGTTAGATGTCTATGAATATTCAAAAGATCCAAATCATTCAATCTACTTTCAGATGTTGTATTTCATAGGTATGTTTTTTACAGACTTGCAGGCCCGGCCCCTGAGCCGGACCGTATTTTAATTTTTTTAAATATACCCTAACCGGGCTCGTAATTTTTTTTTTAAAAACACCCGGGCTGGGCCTGAAAATTTTTTAAGAAAAAATATCCGAGCCGAGTTGTATATTTTAAAACCAAATATTTGAAATCGCCATTATTAGCTATAAATATCAAAAATAAATATAATTTATTTTAAAAAATTCGGGCTAAGCCAGCCGGGTCGGGCCTGAAAATTTTTTTAAAGAAAACCCGGGCAGGAAAAAATTTTAAAATAAAATCTGGGCCTGGTCCTGCAAATAGTACCTCTGCAAGGCTCTGTTATTCTTCTTAAAAAAGTGAATGTTCTCTCATTAGTTTACTAAAGAGCTGCTAATATATATATAACCATTTTAATAATTGGGAGTATAATCTAAAATGTGTTTGAAATAAAAAGCATCCATAGCATTTTTTGTGTATCAACCATAGTTAATCTTTTAATCATAGTTATTCAGCTAATAAGGCATCATAAGATATTTTAACATCTTCATGATAAAAATATAACAAATATTTATATTTTTTTTCTATCACCATATGAAAAAGGTTGGGAGAGGGGACATTTGTTTTATAATACTCTTCTACTGATCCTATATTAATGTTTTGATGATGAGCTTGCTTGCTGCAAGTCGAGGGGGACAAATATTTAACACGTATAGCTCTGCTTTTGACTCAACAATAACATATAAAATATGAAATTCTTCAACAACACTAGCTCTATTTCCTTGAGTTCTAATAAAATGCTCTCCGCTATTCTCATCTTCTTAATCAAGTCAATGTTATGTTTTTAAAAGTATTACATAAAATAGTTGTATAATTAAATAATACATTCTAATGAGAAAAAAAATTTGGAATAAGTATTGAATCCAATAATTTTCTTGCTTCTGAGGAAATATTTCTTTCAAGCCATTGTGATATTTCAGTAATAGCATTAATAATCAGCTCTTCTAACTCCAAAATAGCTGTTACTGTGGCGGAGACTCGATCTCGTTGGACAAGCTTGCAATTTTTTTCTCCCTGTTGGACAAGGAGTTTCAGAGATAATTATTATTTTATTAGAAATTTAGATAAATATTACGCCACTAAAATTTGAAAATAATAGGTAAATTACGCCAAGGAAAACTTGAAATCAAAATTGATTGATAAAATAACTTAGTATATGAATGTGATAAATAAAATATATATATATATGTATATAAGAGATAAGAATAAATATTAACAAATATAAATTAATATTAACAATAATATTTTTGAAAAATATAATCCGGCATCTGCATTTTTTGGCTTTGGGGGGGATTTGTCCTCCTGCCCCCCCCGTTGCGTACGCGCCTGCACACGTTATTAATACTTATTTTAACATATTTTCGTCAAAAAAATTCAAAAATTTTTAAAAATAGCGATTATGACAATTGTCACTTTTCATTGGTACATCTTCACTAAATTTATATTTACACATGTTATTAATACTTATTTTAACATATTTTCGTCAAAAAAATTCAAAAAACTTTAAAAATAGCGATTATGACAATTGTCACTTTTCATTGGTACATCTTCACTAAATTTATATACACATGTTATTAATACTTATTTTAACATATTTTCGTCAAAAAAATTCAAAAAACTTTAAAAATAACGATTATGACAATTGTCACTTTTCTATGGTACATCTTCACTAAATTTATATTTATACATGTTATTAATACTTATTTTAACAAATTTTCGTCAAAAAAATTCAAAAAACTATAAAATTAACGATTATGACAATTGTCACTTTTCATTGGTATATCTTCACTAAATTTATATTTACACATGTTATTAATACTTATTTTAACATATTTTCGTCAAAAAAATTCAAAAAACTTTAAAAATAGCGATTATGACAATTGTCACTTTTCTATTGGTACATCTTCACTAAATTTATATACACATGTTATTAATACTTATTTTAACATATTTTCGTCAAAAAAATTCAAAAAACTTTAAAAATAACGATTATGACAATTGTCACTTTTCTATGGTACATCTTCACTAAATTTATATTTATACATGTTATTAATACTTATTTTAACAAATTTTCGTCAAAAAAATTCAAAAAACTATAAAATTAACGATTATGACAATTGTCACTTTTCATTGGTACATCTTCACTAAATTTATATTTACACATGTTATTAATACTTATTTTAACATATTTTCGTCAAAAAAATTCAAAAAACTTTAAAAATAACGATTATGACAATTGTCACTTTTCATTGGTACATCTTCACTAAATTTATATTTACACATGTTATTAATACTTATTTTAACATATTTTCGTCAAAAAAATTCAAAAAACTTTAAAAATAACGATTATGACAATTGTCACTTTTCATTAGTACATCTTCACTAAATTTATATTTACACATGTTATTAATACTTATTTTAACATATTTTCGTCAAAAAAATTCAAAAAACTTTAAAAATAACGATTATGACAATTGTCACTTTTCATTGGTACATCTTCACTAAATTTGTATTTACACATGTTATTAATACTTATTTTAACATACTTTCTTTAAAAAAATTCAAAAAACTTATAAAAGAACGATTATGACAATTGTCACATTAAAATATTATCCTTAAAAAGATCATATAAAATAACATAAAAATATTCATAAAATCCACCTCATTTAATAATAAATAGATAATTTTAAAAAAATTTCACCTAAAAGATTGTTTATTTATCTAATAAAATTTACAATATAATTCCTCAATAAAAGATGTATTTACAAAGAAGATTGTGAAAATCACTAATAAATTATATTAAAAAGAATATTACATTTTTACAATATTGCAGCATATTATTTTTTTTATTAAAAAAACATCAAATAAAGAAATTTATTTTCTTTTCAAAATATAATAATATAAATAAAAAATATTAAATCATATCATGTTTATTTGTTGATAATAATAAAATATTTATATTAAATATAAATAAAATAAATTATTTTACTAAAATAAATAATAATTAATGCTAAGCATCGATGCAGAATTTTGACTAATTTATTTTAGCCAATTTTTAGGCTTTACCTAATTAGGCTTAGCCGATTTTTCCACCTAAAATCTCGGCTAAGCCGTTTTTTAATCGGCTAAAATTAGCCGATTACGCAACACTACCGAGCCCTTTAAAATTATTGGGCCAATCTAATATTTTTTATAAATATTGGCCGATTTGATATTTAATATTGGCAGGACACTACCCTAATTATATATATATTTTTTTTAAATTGATATCAGATCCATATTGGTATTGGTAAAGTGTCAACAGTGCATTCTTGATGAAATAAAACAAATATTATGAATTTGAGATTTTTCTTTCTTATTTTCCTTTTGAATTGTGGTTATTTTCTTTTATTTAGAAAATTACTAGTTTGACAAAATATTTATAGTTTTCATTTCTTATAATTGAACAAAGAAATAATTAAAATATCAAATATGGTGAAAAAAACGATTAAACAAATTTACGAATATCAGTGACATTGCTGGTATATTAGTTTAAAAAGTGGAATATCTATTAGCGTATTATTCCAAGCTTAAAAACTTATAAATAATCCATCTTACACTTTCATGAAAAAAACATAATAAATTGAATATAACCTATCCTTTTTGTTTATGTCAACTGCAGAATCATCAGAAGAATAAAAAGTTGCCTGAAAGTCATCATCACTTGTATCTTCTTCTCCATCATCTTTGTTTACATTATCTATAGGTAAATCTAACAATGCCCTTGTGTGGTCAGAAAACAATGGTGAGAAAGGAATATTTGATGATGGGGTAGTTGTAGGTTTAACTTTAATACAGATTTGATAATAATTTAGTTATTAATATTAATGATGTGATATACAGTCAACCCTGTTTGATTGGGCACCACTGGGAGCAAGATTTTGCTCAATTTAGACAGTTACTAAATTTATCAAGATATTATCTTATAGAAGTTAATAAGAATTTGATTGGGGCTATAAATTTTGGTCACATTAGGGAGTTGCCTAAATTAGACAGGTTTGACTGAATAGGGATGTATTTAAATATTTTTTAAATATACCCAGGCTGCGCCAGAAATTTTTTTAAAAGAAAATTTGGAGCAAGTCCAGATGGAAAATTTAAAATGCAAGATAGGCAGTAAAAAATTTTTAAAAAAAATCCATGCCTGACCATGCAAATGATATCTCTGCAGGTCTCTGATAAATTTAGATATTGTTAAATTTTTCAAAATATATCACATGTTTAAAAACCTTCTACAATAATTTCTCCATATTTTTCTATCAAATTTTCAACAGGAATATTTGCTTCTTCTTTCAAAATTAAAGCTTCATCTTTTTCAAGTGATATTTCTGACTCTATTAAACCATTATATAGATGTGTCATAAATTAGACTAACCAGATATTGAATAATTATTTGATAATGATGAAGGACCAGGCTGGTCACATTTTGAAGTATCAATATCCTGACTAATTGTATCAGACATTATATTAAGATTTTGTGATATTTTATATAGGTTATTTTTTATAGGGGTACTACAATATTCAACACCATTTAAGGGTGTTTCCTTAGTGTGATCTAATGATGTTTTGCTATTAATAATATCAAAATTTTTCTAATATATAATATTTCTCTATTTATTTTTTATATATATTTAACTTTTTTTGAAATCATTGGAGATATGACATATGGTACATTATTGAGCTTTTTAAATTTTAGTTTTAAATTTTGTGGATTCTGTATATCACCACTACCATTAATATTTTCTAAGTTGTCATTTTCAGATTTGTTGCTAGCCAATTCTGATATAAATAATATATAATATGTGAGATAAAAATAAAATAACCTAGTTCACCTTCTGAAAGTTCTGCTAATTTTTTAAGTTCTCTTTCAATGTCAGGATTTTTTAATTTAGAATCAAACATTAAAAATGCTTTTTGTAAAAAACATTCCATATTCTTATAATCTGTTTTCAAAATTTAGGTGTATAATTTATACTCTAAAATTTACCACTATAGTCTTTTTTTAACTTTTGTAAAAATTCAGGAAAATGTAGAGCTGTGTATTTGGCTACCTCAGAGCCTAAAATAAATTTATTAAATAAAATTAATTATATTATTAAACCTCCGTGGCCATCATATACTGCAAATAAGGACTCATCCTTTTCATAGTCAGGTATCATATTATGTGCATCCTAATTTATAAGTCATAAATAATGTAAGGCTTAAATAAACCTCTTGAGAACTTCTCCATCCCTGCATCGATGAGTAACCACAAATATAATTTTCATAGTCAATGTCTAAAGAATCTTTATTAATATTAGGGTGTGATAAGTAAATTCCCATTTTAAAAATAATTAAAAAGTGTTAAAATCAAGGTTCAATTTGTGCGCCGTGAATTTTATAATTATTTATATCTCCGAGTAAAATATTTTTATTCGATTATTTCATAGAAATAGAAATAATATTTTGGGAAAGCAAGTGCTAAATAAAGAAAAAACATCCAATGAATATCAAATAAAATGAAACTTTGATGATATTTATAATTTTTTTAAAGATGTTGTTACTAGTGTTTTTAAATATCCCGATTTGAGTTGATTTTTAAAAACAGCCCGATTAAGATTTTAGCGTAAATTTGAAGTATTATGTCACCCCTCTTATAATATTATGTAAGCCTCGAGATTTAGCAAATAGTGATCTAAACATTTCTGCCCTCTATTGGCAAATTTACTGGTATATATTACATGAAACACTTACAATATTAAGGAAACACCTTAAATTAATTAAAAATTTTGAGATTATAAGATATTATATAATTTTATGTAGAATTTTAAATAAAAATAATGAATAATGTAAAATAAAATTTTATTTCTAACTATTTATCAATTATTTTTATTTTGTTTGAGATTCTTATAATCAGCGTCTACATGAGCGGGAGGGGTAGGAACAGTTTGCATCCTATTTTTTTGAGGGGGTAGGCTGCTTTGATGGGGGTATGATAAATTTTTTGGGGGGTTATCTATTAAATTTTGAGATCAAATAGGACAAAATCTATTGCTGTAAAAATTAATACTTTTATTATAGAATTATTATAATACAATTCATCGACTAAATCTATATATTGCAAACAATCATACATTGTTTTCCAAATAAAACTTTCTGCTATCCCTTGTAATGTAATTTAAAAGGTTTAGATATTTTAACAAGCTCATAATGCCATAATAATTAATTAATTGTAAATAATGGAAGTTTTAATTGAATTTATTGTCTAAAAAATAAATTCTTTATATTCACAAAATATCGATAGTTATTAATTTAAGTTAGACTTTATTAATTCTCTGAAAAGTGTATCAATAAATTAAAAAGGTGAAAATAATAATAGAGATACATCGCCGCCGAAGGCGCAGGGGATTTTTAGGGGGTTAGGCACAGGTTTTTGAATGGGCTTTGCATCCAGTGAATATCTTGTCATGTAGACGCTGCTTATAATGATAAAATATTTATATAATTTTATTTTATGAAGAATTTTAAATAAAAATATCGAAACGTAAAATAAAATTCTATTTTTAACTATATATTAAATATTTTATCATTAAGATTCTAATGATAAAATATTTATATAACTTTATGAAGAATTTTAAATAAAAAGGGCTTTTCCTGGTCTTGTGGAATTTTAAAAAGCAAACAAGTCATAATGTAAAATAAAATTCTATTTTTAGCTATACATCAATTATTTTTATTTTTTGATAAAAAGTAATAACATTAGTATCTGAGACATAGATTGGGATATAAAATGGGGTTACTGAAAAAAACAGGTCAGAATATTGAGAGGTTTTATCTAGCAACAATTTAAAAATAGATGTTAAAATTCCCCACTCCCCAGTACCATTCAATAAATGAAAATAAAAAATGTTGGTTGTAATCCCCCCTTAATGGTTGAGATCTAATACAAAAAATGCCTTATGCATTCGGTGCCTCTAAGATTATTATAATAATAATAATTCATTGATACTTAATATTTGATGGAAGGTATTATAATTATATCATCTAGATTTAAATAAATGTTACTAATAAAGAAAACTTTTAAAAAAAATTATTCGTAAAAAGAAAAATTAAGTTCCTCTGGCAGAATCAAAACAACGAAGATTCAATATATCAAAAAATAATTTTATTCGAAACTAATGAACATTATGAATGATAATAATTTAATTCGTAATATGTATATGGAACTATATTTAAAAGTAAATAATAATCCAATTCGTAAAAAATATACAATAATTATAAGATGTCCTCTATTAGGAACATACTATAGAAAAGATAAAAATAAATTAATGATAGAATTCATGAATAAGAAAATATTTTATTGTAACTAAATATATATTCATAACAAATATAAAGACATTTGTTAAATTGATTGCCGCAAGCACTAAATATCCTCATTTGCGACAGTAACAATAATATTTGTTAAAAAAATAAATATAATTTAATATATTATTTAATTCAAATTTTGCCGATTTAAAATAGGGATTTTTAATCAAACAAATATTTTTTAACCCTGATATGGTAAAAATATGTTAGAAATGCTTAACCCTCTTTTGTAAAAATCTTGAGGTAAGTAATACTGATTTGGCTAAAATATTTGGTCAGTTAGAAAGCGGCAAAATCTAAGTTTTCTTGTTATATAAAAATAATTAAAATCCCCGTTATTTTTATAAAATGTTGTATTGTTTTTTATAATTTAACATTTTCATAAGTATTGGAACATCAACTTGCTTTAGATATATATTTTTTTATCATTAGAAATTTATATATATTAAGAATCTCCGTAAATTTTGCAATTTAATGATATGTATGAATTTCGATATATAAAATATATATAAATTTCTATATTTTCTTTAAAAATATTTGTATTTTTTTTTAAAATATTACAAAAATATTTTAATTAATTTAAAATAATTTTTTTTAAGTATATATGTCGATACATATATTAAATTGCAAGAAAAAAATAGGTGGGTTCGGTTCGGGTTCGGTTCAGGGAAATATTTTCAAACCCGGTGTAACGTGTGAAATTGATTACCGTGAGATTTTGAAATCTCACACCATCAAAATTTCACGGCTAATACCGTGTGAAAGTGATTTCATGAGATTTTGATTTTTATCTCAAATACATTGGGGGCCATTTAAATAATCAAAATCTCACGGCTATATTTTAAAATCTCATCGATTTTTTCAAAATCTTGCATCATGAATTTCAATAAGCTTAATAGCTTGAATTTTCTCAAATTTAAAACGTCAGATTTGAACGAAGCTGTCAAATTGGAAATAATTCTTGAAAAGGTTATTTGCCCCTTAGCGCCAAAATAAAACTCCATATTGATTATTTTAAAACTCCATAATGATTATTTTAAAACTCCATATTGATTATTTTAAAACTCCATATACATTATTTTAAAACTCCATATTGATTATTTTAAAACTCCATATTGATTATTTTAAAACTCCATATACATTATTTTAAAATTCCATATTGATTATTTTAAAACTCCATATTGATTATTTTAAATCCAAGCAATTTTGACCATTAAGTAAAAATTTTATCAAGACCATTTTAGAAGTAAAAATTTTATCAAATAATAAAATTTAATCTTTAATATATATTTTTAGATTCTGACAGTAAAACTCCATATTTCCTTGCATAAGTTTTTAACAAAATATTTTTGCAATAATTTTAAAGATATATATGAATTCTTAAAATGTTCTAAACTTCCAATGAATGTTAATAAGTCAAACTTTATTAGGAAATGCAATGCTTATTGACGAAAATTTGTATTACACTATAAATGAAAGTAAATTTTAGATGTTAATAGAAATAATATAATATCTTTTAAAAGTAGGAATAGTAATATTTTTATTAATAACTATAGGGTTTTCATTTTCTTTGTTGGCATTATCTATAATGACAAAAATTTTCAAAAAACATATTTAAGCCATTGATTGTATTTATTTTTTGTCCATCACATAATATTATTTTATATATATTTTAATGATATATTATTTTAGAAGAAAGAAAGGTTTTATGGACTAAAGATGAACAAAATAATATAATTAAAAGAATACATGAGAGAGGTGTATCTACAGTCCCAGGAATAGCTATGGCCATCTGGGGATTAATAAAACTAACCAGATAATAACGGAAAAGTAAAAATATGCAATATTATCTTATTTAATATTTTACAGCTGTTATTGGTTGGACAGCAATAAAGACATTAGGGAGTTTATCAAATCCTGTGAGGTTTGTTAAAAATCAAGCAGTCGTTTTGATAAAACTTCAAATGTGTTGCACAATATAAAAGTGGTTCCAAAATCTTGGCATCATGGCATTGATCTAATCCAGCAGATGCCTGAATCCAAAGAAAATTATTAATATATTTTATGTGCCATTTGTTATTTCTCCAAATATTTTATGGCTATTCCTATTAAGGATAAAACAGCCAAATCCGTTGTTAAAGCCTTATATATCATTGTCAACACTCACAAATGTTATGAAGTAATAAAATTAAAAATAACTTATTTGAATTTTATCAATCTATTAATGCATATTTTTTTTAAATTTAATAAAACTAAAATATATATTTATTAAAGAGTCAGATTAATGATCAAGGTAGGGAATTCTAATTCTAAAAATATTGTGGGATTGTTCAGCGAATAACCTCAGCCTACCACCCACAAGCAAATGGTTTGGTTGAGCGAGTTAACAGAAAAATCCAGAACCAAATAGCAAAATCGATTTTGGATAACCCAACTGACTGGCCAGATGCTTTAGTAGGGGTATGTGGCACCTACAATTCTTGTATACACTCTTCCACGGAATTTTCACCCTATGAACTGATGTATGGTCAGAAACCTCGACGTCCTCTTACAGTAGAAATAATTATTACTATTATATTTTTAATTATTATTTAGTTACAAAACAAAATTAAGGAAATATTTGCCCTACCAGAGGTTATGGCAAAAATTACTATAGATGAATGTTTAAAAAAAGAATTTGATATAAAAATGGCTCATCTCAAGAAAATTAAAAAGCTGGCTATACAAAATATTGGTATAGCACAGCTCAAACAAAAAAAGGATTATGAAAAAAGAACAAATGGTTCAAAATCTTTTGCTGGACAAAAGGTTCTTGCATGGAACCATAAAAGGTCTGATAGGAAAGGGTGGAAAATGTTGAACCCCTGGATAGGCCCATATTTGATCAATAAAATATTTGATAAGTGTAATTATATTATATTATATAAATTATTATTTATTGTATATCAAGGTGTATATGAATTGATAACATCAAATAATATCATTTTGAAAACTTAATAAAATTTAAAAGAATTTATTGTACGAAACAATGAAAAT